TTTTAGAAGGAAAGAATGCTTTAATTGTATTTATTTTTACACTTTCATTGTTTTTGTTTTTGTATTTATTTTTTCCAAATAAAGTGGATGACTTTGTTGTCAGTGTCAGAGGCTATTGAGCCTGTCCGGACTCTTGGCTCCCCTCTATACCCAACAGAACAAAACACTACCCTTCCTGACCTATCATCACAGTTCGTACTATGCTTGAGCCCATTGTGGCAGCTTCTGTGTCAATCCATCTCTTCAAAGGTCTTCTTATTTGCTGCCTTTCTATGATACCACGCATGACGTCCTTTTCCAGGATCTGGTCTCTCCTGACCACATGTCTGTCAACTACTCCTGGGTCAGGATAGGGGCAGGCCTAACCTCTCAATTGTGTCATAGCTTAATGACACCACCTTGGTGGCACAGCCTTTTTGTATAAGAGTGAGAGACACTGGGAGCCCTCACTCTGCCATTTCACCTGGCTTCTTGCTGAGACGCTGCCTGTCTCCAGGGGAAGTGCCTGATCCTGAGGCCTGTCAGGGTCCTACCACCCTTTCATCAACTTTGGAGCCCCTTGACCCTGCACCACCAACCTCTGGTCTCCCACCATCCACTTCGCCTTTCTGTCTCTTCCACCTGAAGCTGCGGGAGTCTGCAGAGGGCCTTGGCTTGTGTTGGACTTACGGACTTGAGTTTAATTTGGTTGAGATGCCTTCTTGATATAAGATTTTTTAGTGATATAAAGTTTTTCACATATATAAATAAAGATATCTATCTATCATCTATCTATCTATCTATCTATCTATCTATCTATCTATCTATCTATCTATCTATCTATGACTGATTTTGTTTCTCTAGGCAATCCAGCCTAAAACACTGTCCAGTTACTTGAGACAAAATCTCACCACCCTCACTTGTAAGCAGCATTCTGGCTGTATTTCTTCCAAGACATATTTATTTGTTTGTTCTTTTGACAGCCCATAGAACTTTCCAGACTTACTATATAATTCAAATGCATCGATTCTTCTTCGGTCTTTCTTATTCAATGTCTAACTTTCACACGCATATGAGACAATTGAAAATACTGTGGCATGGGTCAGGCACACATTAGTCCTCAAAATGACCTCCTTGTTCTTCAAAACTTTAGAGATCTTCTGTGGCAGATTTACCCAATGCAATGCATCATTTGATCTCTTGACTGCTGGTTCTAGGAATATTGATTGTGGATCCAAGCAAGATGAAAACCTTGACAACTTCAATTTTTCTCCATTTACCAAGATTTAGCATGATTGGTTCACTTGTGAGAATTTTTGTTTTCTTCACACCGAGTTATAAACCATACTGGAGGCTGCACGTTTGATCTTCATCAGTAAGTGCTTCAAGTCCTCCTCATTTTCAGCAAGTTAAGTGCCATTTGCATATCACAAGTTTCTAATAACTCTTTCCCTAATCCTGATGCCACATTCCTCTTCATATCTAGTTTCTCATATTATTTGCTTGGCATACACATGGAATAAGTACAGTGAAAGGATACAACGTTGTCAAACACTTTTCCTGATTTTAAACCAGGCAGCATTCCTGTTGTCTATTCACACAGTCACCTGTTTATCCATGCATATGTTCTGCATAAACACAACAGAGTGTTCTGGAATCCCCATTCTTCTCAATGTCACCCATAGTTGGTTATGATTCACACAATTGATTGCTTTGGATCAATCAATAAAACACATATAAACATTGTATTTGTTCAGGAATTATCTGCTTTGATCCAAGAGACATCAGCTATCAGCAATGATGTTCCCTTGTACAGGTCCTTTTCCAAAACTTGCTTGCAGTGTTTGTGGCTCCCTGTCCATGCTCTGCTGCAACCATTGTTGAATTATCTTCAGCAGAATTTTACTTGCGTGTGATATTTATGTATCATTCAATAATTTCTGAATTCTCTTTGGAATGGGAACTAATGTGAGTCTCTTCCATTCAGTTGGCCCGCTACTTATCTTCCAAATTTCTTGGTATAGATTAACGAGACAAGAAAGAAAGACAAGATCAAAGTAGCTGTCAAAAGAGGCTCTGGAACTTGCTCTTAATTTTGGAGTAGCTACAGTCAATGGAAGAAATGATGAAGTAACAGAGCTGAACAGAAAAGTTTAAAGGGCAGTCCCAGAAGACAAAGTAAAGTATTTTTGTGAGATAGGCAAAGACCTGAAGTTAGAAAACTAAAAAGGAAGGACACATGCAGTGTATATCAACCTGAAAGAACTGAAGAAAAAGTTGGAGTCTTAGGTTGTAATACTAAAAGATTCTTGAGCAACATATTGAACAACACACAAAGTATCAAAATAGTGGAAGGCATACAGAGTCACTCCATAAAAAAAAGCGAGTCGACATTCAACCATTTCAAGAGACAGCGTCTATTCAAGAACCAATGGTAATAAAGAAGTGTAAGTTGCACTGAAGGCATTAGAGAAAAACATACTCCAGGAATTGACTGGATGCCAATTAAAATGCTTCAACATGCCGATGAAGCACTGGAAGCACTCACTAGTGTACACCAAGACATTTGGAAGAAGTTAGTAGAATACTTCAATTTCTTCATCCCTACCTTTCGTGGTTGGTGTGTAAACTTGGATAATAGTTACATTAACTGGGATTCCTTGTAGGAGTGTGGAGAGTGTCCTATCACTGACAGCATTGTACTTCAGGGCAGATCTTGACACGTGCTTTTTGATGATTAATGGGGCATTGTCTCTCTTCCCCTTGTCCTTTCTGGCATAGCAGAATATATGATTGTCTGATTCAAAACGACCAAGGCCAGTCACTTTCAGTCACTGATGCCTAAGATATTGACTTTGTGTGTTGTATATTATTTTTGACTTCAAATTTTCCTAGGTTCATATTTAGTGTATTCCATGTTTTGATTATCAATAGCTTATTAATGGATGGTATTAGGAAGAAAAATATTATTTTCTCACAGTTTAGAAGGCGAGAAGTCTGATTTCCCAGGACCAGTGGCTGAGGAAGACTTTCTCTCTCTGGTGGCTCAGGGGGATGGTGATGCTGTGGTCTCTCTCTCCTCCTCTATGTGTGTGCTTGCTTGCTTACTTTGTTCATTCTTATCTCAAGAGAGATGGATTTACGGTCCACCTTACACTAATAGCATCTCCTTCAAAGAACAGAGAAAACTCATTCCCAAATATGACTATAACTACAAGTGTAATCAAAGCCCACAGCTATCAAATAAATTTCCGTGTGTAATGAACCCACATAGGATTTCTGAGATGATAAGTTTATGTAGGTTTGGTCTTAACCTATACGTGCAGTATCAGACCGCCTCATCTTTCTCCCTCAGCGCACCTGTGGGCTTCCTCTGCTCCCCTAGTCAATAGCACTCAACCCTTCAGCCTCAGCCCCACCAAGACTGCTTCAATGATAGGGGTTAGGATATATCACGTCTGTTTTGGGGACATATTATTCAATTCATAATGCTCCCTTTTTCTGAACGATACAAGCAAACAAACCAAAAAGACAAATGAAAAGGGGCACTACCTTGAAAAGCCTGCATGTCAGGCAGTGAAAGACAATGAGTCTAGTGTGATGGGAAATCAAGAAATGGCACAGAGGCCACTTCTGATCTCCGCCAGCCTCAGTCAGGAAAAGAAGACTCCAACCCCACACCAGGGTAAAGCCAACTGCCACAGCACAGGGGTCAGTGTGCCTCTGCCCTCCATCCCGCTCTATCCTGACACCAACCATCCCTCCCTGGCACCCCACTCCTCTGCTGAGTTTGATAATCTTTTGAGATGGCTACAGGGAACTCCCAGACAATGTCCACGATTATGGCTTTCTTAGAGAAGTTAACAGGTTGCCACAGGATCAGATGAGAAACATTAAGAATACAGGCTCTTTGTCCACCGTGCCTCTTCTCAGCCATGCCAGTACGAATGGTCTTGGCCTTTTTCCTGCTTGGTGCCAACAAGTTTCCAAAGGGCACTGCTCTGCCAGCCAGCCTCCTGCCCGAAGGCACTTAGCTCGACTGCTTCCCTGGGCTGGGAGACCCTCTGTTTGGCCTCATCATCTCAACGCTGCTCCTCTGTTCTACCTCCTGATCTTGGTACTGTGGCCTCTGGGGCTTCCAGCGCTCGGCCACTTCACGCCACCACAGGAAATAAACTAGATGAGCCTTTTGACTGCCCCATTTACTACCTTCAGAGAGTGTGGGTCACAGTGCTAAGAGGTAATCCATACACTCTCTGAATTGTGAAGATGGAGCTCAATATCTGTGGGATGTAGTTGGCTAGAATGAGAGTATAGAAACGGAGGAAGGTGCACAGAGCAGGTACCTCATATTTCTGTAGATGGTCATCCTAGAGTATTCAGTAGAGGGCTGATTAGTACATATGTGCGAGGAAACGATTTAAGGGTAGGAAAAGGATGGCCGAAGGCTTCGAGGGAACAGTGCTCAGCACTCACGTGGTCTTGTCAAATACATCTTAAAAGTCAAACCTGGGTCAAACTGCTTCCAAGCAACTTAAATACATCACAAAATGAATCTCAGGAATAATACTGATAGTCATACAAAATATCCATCACTCAGCAAAGCAAAAATTCACAAAATCTAGCATCCAATCGATGACAAAGAATCAAGAAGATGTGACTCATGATAGGAAGGAAAATCAGTCAATAGAAACCAATTCACTATGGACACAGATGTTATAATTAGTAGACAAGGATATTAAAACTGTAATAACAGATAATAACCATAGTCTACATATTCCAAAAGTTAAATGAAGGAATGAACCATATAAAACACAACCCAAACTTTAATTCTAGAAATAAAAACAACAGCTTAGCAGAAAAACATACTTGCTGGGATTAGTGGAAGATTAATTGCCATTAATCGCATTGCACAAGAAAATAAACAAAACTTTAGGGAACTTGAAGATGTAGTATTAGAAATTGTCCCAAATAAAAACAAAGCTTATATATATTTTTTTTCTTTTTCTTTTTTTTTTTTCCCCTGTTTGAAACTAGCCCAAGGGCTCCAAGAGCACTGAGGCCAGCTTCAGTGTTTCTTTTCCTCCTTTTACGACCACCCAGACCAGTATTATGATCCGATGGGAAAGGGAACTGGAGGGTTATATATATTTTTTTCTTTGTACATTTTCACACACACAACTCAAGCAAAAAGGACACATGTAGAAAAATAATTTTAAAAATAAAAAGAGAAAAATAAATAAATAAGAAAGAGAATCTGTGAGCTGTGGGGGCAACTCCAAGCAACCATATCTGTGTGAGTTTTGGAGTACCCAAAGACAGAAGAGGTACGAAAAGATATTTAATAAAACAATGGTATAAAATTATTCAAATTTGGTACAATCATAAATGTATCAAATGAGGAGCCCAACATACCCAAAGCAGAAGAAATAAGTGGAGAAATATACAACAGTGCATCATAATCAAACGACTCAAAGCTGTAGCTAAGTGGAAAGTTATACAAGCAGTTAGAGGGAAAAGACATGTCTACAGAAGAATGAAGATACAGATGACAGCAGATGTTTTCGCTGGAGATTTGTAAGCACAGATAGTGGAGCAATGTCTAAAAGGTACTGAAATCAGAGAAACTTCTCACTTCGGTGCCCAGGGAAAATGTCTTTCAGTGAGGACATGATAAAGGTGACTTCAGAGATATTAAAAGGAAAGAATTAGTCACCAACAGATCAGCAGTATAAGAAATGTTAAAGGAGAGATATTAGCTGTCTAGGGCAACTGTGATAAAACACAAAGAATTGTGTAGCTTTACACAACAGAACTTCATTGCCTCAAGGTTCTGGAATCTGAAAGTCCAAGGTTGTGGTGGAGGCTGGGCTGATTCCTTCGGAAACTTGGAGGGAGAATCCCTTCCAAGCCTCGCCTCAAGTGTCCGATCTCTCCAGCTGGCTTCCTCTTGGCTGGCAGCTTCAGTAACACATGGCATCCTCCCTCTGCCTCCCAGACTCTGTGAACCTTCTTTTTGATAAGGACAACAGTCATGTAGGACTAGGTCCCAGCCTTCTCCTATAAGACCTCATGTAAAACAAGCTGCTAACATCTTGAAACACTATTTTCAAATTAAGTAAATTCAAAGGTACATATCTTTTCTGGGGACACAATTAGATCCAGCACAGTAGGGTCTTTACAGAGAAGGAAAATTCAGCTGGTTATTCACAAGCGAATGAAGAGTCATGATAATGGTAACCATTGGGGCAAATGGTATGATATTTTTATTATTTTGTGAGTCTTATTTAAACAGTCAGCAATGACAGCAACAATAATAAGAAACAATTCACTTAAGGGCTTATAGCATTTGTAAAAGTAAAACATGTGACAACAGAAATAGAAGTAAACATTAGTAGAATTTTTATGGTAAATATAAAGAGGTATAATATTACTTGTAGGTATACTGTGATAAGTTAAAGATGTATAATATAAACCCCAAACAACCACTAAACACAAAGCCAAACCCCCAAAGCACGAAGAATTATAGCCAATAGACCAATAAAAGAGAAGTAAAATACTAAGTCCAAAATAAAATAGAAATGGGCAAAATAAGACAAAAATAGAGGAATACCGAACAAACAGCAAGATGGTAGACTTAAACCTAACCATATCAATGCTGACATTAAATATAAATAGTCTAATGTTCCAAACTACAAGGCAGAGATTATGCAACTTGGGGGCAGGGGGTGAGAGGAGGGAGACCCAGTAATATGCTGCCTCTTCCTTTGATGAATGAACAAATAACATTCTTCAAACAACAAGGTACAAGGGTAAATGTAAAACAATGGGGAAAGCAACATCATGCTATTGTTAGTCAAAGGAAAGTAGGTGTGGCTGTTTTAATAACAAAGCATATTTCAGAGCAAATAATACTACCCAGGGGAAAAGGCATAAATTCCTAAGGATAAAAGGGTCAATTTATCAAGAGAACCTGGCTGTCTTAAGCATCTATATCCCTATGAGCAGAGTCCCAAAGCATAAGAAATAAATGATAATATAAATAGAAATAAAGAAATATACAATTATAGTCAGGTTTCAATTCCCCTTTCTCAATTATCGATAGAACTAGTCAACAGAAATTCAGTAAGATATTGCAGACCTGAGCAACACTGTAAAACACCTCAATCTGACTGGTGTTTTCAAACATTCCACCTAACAAGAACAAGGACACCTTCTCAAGTGCACATAAAACATTCACCAATATAGACCTGGGCCGTGAAATAAGCCTTAATAAATTTAAAAGGAACCAAGACATTAGAAAATCTCCTCTGACCACAATAGAATTGAATGAAAATTAATAACATGAGTATCTCTAACATTTTCCAAATATCTGAAAAGTAAGTAACACACACTTAAATAGCACATAAGTTTATGAGGAGCTGATACCAAGGGCTCAAGTAGAAAGCAAATGCTTTGAGAATGATGATGGCAACAGATGTACAAATGTGCTTGACACAATGGACGTATGTATGGATTGTGACAAGGATTGTATGAGCCCCCAATAAAATGATTTAAAATAAATAAATAGCACATAAGTTTAAGAAAAAAATAGGAAAATTATAAAGTATTTTGAACTTAGTGTAAGCAAAAATAACATCAGAATTAAAAATTATTATTATTATTTATCAATCATTTTATTGAGGGGCTTTTACCAATATTTTAACAATCCATCATTCCACTGTACTAAGAACACTTGTACATATGTTGCCGTCAACATTTCCAAAATGTTTTCTTTCTGCTTCAGCCCTTGGTATCAGCTCCTTTTTTTTGTCCCTCCCTCAACCACCCTCGGACCCTCATGAATTCTTGATTCAATTATATATATTATTGGTATTATTTCATGTCTTACACTGCCCATAGTCTCCCTTCACCCTTATTTCTGTTATTCGTCCCCCTGATTTTTTAATGAAAGTTTACCTAGTACCTAGTACATTAGGTTATTAATGATCAAATTCTGAAGAAATCATTCATTGTGTTGGTTACATTGCATGAATATTGTAATTTCTCCTGATAGTTTCATTTTCAGTAATTATAGTCACTAGGCTTTGTGTCAATTCAGCAGGTGAGGAGGATTCTTAGTGGCTTAGCAGTTAAGGCGTAGTAATCCCCATGGTGTGATCTAACACAATGTGATCACTGCAGTAATGGGATCTGCTAGGAGCAGCCAATCACCCTTACTTGAATCACAGCCCAGATTCAATCAATCAAAAGGAGATTTTTCTCAGGGATGTTGGCTTGTGGAAAAGCTTTCTTGCTTTCTTGTTGGCTCTAGCTTCATCATCTGGCTCATTGTCCTCTGGTTCTTTGGACTTGAACCCACGGCCTGCAGTACTGCTCTAGATACTGGGAGTCTTCATCCACCTGCCATCTGGATCCCTTTGCTTCTGCAGCCTTTATGGATGCTTTGACTCAACAGCTGTAGTCATATTGTCTTGTAGTTGGTCTTGCGGAGCGTATTACCCCAGTGTTATTATAACATTCCACTTCTACCCTAGAGGGGAGCGAGTGACAACCAACACACTGGTTTTCATGATTTATTTCAGGGTCACCCTTCATTGTTTCAAAAGTCTTACAACTATTGGGACCCATGCATTCTTGGAGAATGTTATAATAGCAGTGAATGAAACGTCTGACATATTTGTCTTTCCTCTTGTCAAAAGCCAGGTTCCTGCCACTCTTATCTTTTGCCAAGGTTCACAAGTTAATAATTTAATCTTTTCCTGGTTCATGGATTCCGGCCAAAGGGAAAAAAGGTTGCTGTTAGAGCATTAACTAACCATTTCTTTTTTCTCATGTCTGTATCACTTAGTGCCTTTTTGGCCAAGTTGTCTCAACTTCATCTATATTTTACGTCCTTTCCATCACTAAAATGAACATATATCTCCTCTCTAGGAAGTTATTTCCCACCTATCCCTGTCCATCCCTGGTAGCCATGCGAGAATTGGGCTTTCTGTGTGTATATATATTCTTCATTTTTTAATAATGGTGAGACCATATAATATTAGTCTTTTGTGAATGACTTATTTCACTCAGCATAATGTCCTCCAGATTTATCCATGTTAAACATTGTGTCGTGGATTCCTCATTATTCTTTATAGTTGTGTAGAATTCCACTATATGCATACACCACAGTTTTCAGATCAATTCAATCATTGATGGGCATTGTGATAGGTAGGTTTTATGTCATTTTTGCTGGTTCAGGTTTCTCGCTGACATTGAGTCAATTCTGACTGACAGCTACAATACAGGACAGGGTAAGACTTCCCTTGTGGGTTTTGAGACTGAAAATTTGTATAGGAGTAGAATGTCTC